CCTTGTGTTTATTATTATATTTCGAAAACACCACAGTTTTCATGCAGCTCATACCATATTACTTTGTTGTATTATTTCCGCCACACCTTAAATGCCGGTCCCTGAAAATATTGTCTGACATAAACCGGTCCGTGGGGCAAAAAAGGTTGGGGGCCCCTGGCCTAGAGGAAGACCAAAAAAGGAGGTTTATGGATGTACTGTAGGGAAAGAGGACACGACGGTAGCTGGTGTGAGAGAAGAGGATGCACTAAACAGGGTTAGATGGAGGCAACTGATTCGCTGTGGCAAAGCCGAAAGGGAAAGAAGATACAGTAACGTTTAATTAAAAAAATCGTTCACTGCCTTTGCGTCGTCAAATGCCTTACCTTTATTGTGAAAGGGTCTTACGGGATGTTCTAGAGCCCCCCCCCCCCACACACACACACACATACACACGCACGCCGCTTTTCAGCGCTAGCTTGACATTAGTAACACCGCCGGCAGCACATTGAAACAGGTAAATACGCTGGATTTTTATTTTAGTTTTCTCGTTAGATTTTTTTTTGGTATCTGACAGCTGGCCCCCTTTTATCCACCACTTCGAACCAGATTTAGTTGCTTTTGAAGTGGCCGTTCCACATGTGAAATTTACCGAAGTTCACTTCTGGTGTCTCCTGTTAGCATAGGATTTGCACGGCTAACAAATGCTAACTCACGCCAAGATAAGGTTCAATACTGTACTGAATTAAGATTACGTCTGTGTTTGTTACCCACTAAGGTGCTGTCAATGAAAATGTCAACGTCACGCCGGAATGCGACCACTTGATTGTATTTATAGAAATAAATCGGAATAAAATAAGTTGCTCGGTCTTCGTCTGGCTAACGACATTTGTTGTATCGCGACGTTCTTCGTGTGCTCATAAGTTTCCTCAGACATCTGCAGAGAAAAATTAATTCCGCGGAGAACAAACCTATTTCTGCAGAGAGCAAACATTGACCCCGCGGCTTGAAAGTTGACTTGAAATTTTCCACCGGCATTTAAAAACGACCCTCAAATTAAAGCGCAGTAATATACGAATAAAGTTAGAATTATGTTCGGAATTTATCTGCAAAATTAAAACACCGTGTAACACTGTCGTTATCAAAAGTATTCTTTGCCCCTCGTGTGCAGATTTAAGTTATAATAATAATAATAATAATAATCATTACATTTTATTTTCATTACTTATAAAGTGCGAAACATTTCACCAAACTCTGGGTTGAAGCAGAACAAGTGATAGGAAAGCAACGATTTAAAGTGTAAATTAACCACTTGACCTGACTATTGGAAACATACTCCACACGGGTAGATAATAAATGTAATTCAATGACACAGACAGTTCATTTACTGTCACTGGCAATGACGTGACATCATTTTTAGGAGACATCTGCGTTAAGTCAGCTTTTCTGTATTGCTCCATGAAATGAAGAGAAAGAACAGTGTCGCCTCATTTTATCACAATTTAGTCAATCGATAGTAGTTGTAGAAAACGTCTTATACAGATCAGTAGGGGATGGCAGATTTACAAATCAAATTAGGCATCTTGAAGTTCTTACCTTGATTAGTTGTGCATTCATCAGAATCAAATTTATTGGCCAGTTACAAACTTTCAATAGGAACAGAAACAAAACAATTACCAACAGCGGGGGACAGAACCAGAAGCCTGGCAGTTCGCTGTTAAGCACCGTGATATTTTAGATGTGATGGACAACAATAGGGAAGAAGAGAGGAAAAATAACCCGACAGACTCCTATCATTCTCCTTACATGGAAGCATGGTTTGAGCCGAGAAAAACACTTCCGCACATGTAGCTCTCAAAAATTAGTAAGTTAGCACTTATGTTGTGAACCTAGAATGGATAAACATGTGAATATTGTCTCAAGTTCTGCACCAAATCCCCCGCTTCTTCTTTATATGGTTTCACAGTCATCACGGCCCTCCAAGGGAATGGTCACAACAGTGTGGCCCGCGACAAAAATTAGTTTGACACCACTGACATAGAGGATCAACTCCACGTGTCTACCCGCGCGAGTTGCCAGCTGTGTTGAGTGTTCAATAAAGCAACTTACATACATACATACAGAAAGAAAGAAAGAAAGAAAGAAAGAAAGAAAGAAAGAAATTACACGAATATGTAGACCACAGTCAATCAGAGTAAAGTCCTGCTCTTCACTCTCTCTTGATTGGTTGAGACCACAACATGCATGTTATTTGAGTGTGGCTTTATATTTGAGGAGACCTTTTTCATTCCCATATCAGCAGGTTGCCAACCTCAAATTTTTTTCAGTTGCACCATTGTGACATTTGCACCCAAATTGGGTGCACCCTTGAGCCCAGATTAATGTTTGCATCCATGTATGCATGCGCTATGGCAGTTCGCCAGGCCAGCCCGGAAAAGACGGCTGACCCTGCGAAGGGTGATCGCCGCCACTGTGGCGTCCGAAGTCTCCCGTAGCTGGGGAGATCGGCGGGAAGGGTACAGTGCACGTCCAAAGACGCCTGCTCGAGACCACATATGCATCCAGCGCAGGCCCTTCTGTGGGAAGTGGAGCGGCTAGTGCGGACGGGCTTCGCTGAGCTGCTGTATGCCCGTGCCGCTTCTCTGGTGACGGGAAAGTGCTGGGCGGCGCGCACACACATTTCCTATTGGTCCTTCTTCATTCGTACTTCTCACGCACTGCGAAATAAGCATCGAAATTTACCACCGACATTTTAAAATATGAACGATTGCAAGAGAACCAGAATGACAGTCCTGGTTCCACTTGATTCTCTCTTCCCTACCTGAATTACAGGATAAGATTAGGTGTTGTGTCGATGGCAAAAGGCCGTTTTTTTTAAACAAATGTATTAATAATGGAGGGCACTGGATATGTACAGTCAATATTCTCTAGTGCGGACTCGTGTTTGCGCTGTCCAATTTGTCCTGATAACAGAAATTCCTCATTTGGGAAATGAGCATGGTACATGTCCTTGATGAACCTGCAAGTATGTTGACAAAAATGCACGTGTAACAACACAATCAATAAAATACAAAAATATACTGTCCAAAAACTTTATATAACAAAAACTGCAATACAGGTGTATCCAAAAAAAATCACAACAGTAAAATACGTACAGTATTTTAATGTTTAATTTTTTTCTGTCTTGGGAAAAAAATGTGTCTATTTTGGATTGTTTGGTTGGATGCATTCTTTGGTTTATGACAATGTTTGCCTGCGTGTCATACAGTTTTGTTGCTAGTTGCAAGTAACTGTCCCGTTGATCACCGATGTCTGGTAATTCTTGTGCATACTGATGGATTTGTTGCCATTTGCATTGCTTCCTCGCTGGATGGTGGCTTGTCATCAGGA